TGCGGACGATCGCGGGAGAAGCCCGATGCGACGCGGGAGAAGCACGATCGCGGGAGATCCTGATCGCGGGAGAAGGACGATCAGTCGAGGAGCGGCGCTCGGATGCGGATGATCGGGGCAGGCGCAAACTAGGGCAGCGCTCGGTAACGACGATTGTGGAAGAGAAGGGTCGTGATCGAGCCAAGCGGGAGAGACTCTGATACCATGTGAATTTTGAATAATCTTTTTTCTCACTGAATATATAGATAATTCACCTATAAATAGGTGAGTACAAGAGATAAAAAGAGGAAAGAAATCTTCCTACAATTAAGTAATTCCTATAATTATGGAATAAACATAAATACTTATAATTTAGGAATTACCCTTTTTATACTATGACTAAATATAGCAAGTACTAAATAGAATTAAAGAAATAATAATGAGCGTAATTCCACAATTGCAAATTATGAATTCTTAATTTTAATGAAACAAATCATGAAAATTATGCAATTCTGATAAACTCTGTATAATTCTTCAAATCTTTTACTTTATCTAGGCTTTGACTCTTGAAATAATGAGGAATGTCTTAGTGCTGTCAACTGGTTTTGCACTTAAGCTTCTAAGAAGCAATTTTATCATTTTGTTTGAGCATGGTTTATATTTCGTGTAAATTTCATAGATATACTATGAAAACATTTGCATTCTAAAACAAATTGTACTAATTTCAATTGCTTTGAACTGATATCATTGAAGGAAGAGTAATGATTGTTAAACTAAAAGAACCAATTGATTAAATTGATCCTGGATTGTTGGAATAATTTATGGTTATTTACCTTTATTTTTGTCTAATATTTGGTTGGAAAATGCAAAACAAATGCAGAATGATAAGTTGAAGCTGTTGAAGCCGGGATCTCTTCAGCATCTTGGGGAAAATATGCTAGCATTCCTGATTCCTGCTTCATGCTGCCAGGTCTCCAGATGTTGGCAAAATGACAGTAGAATCAGATAGAAAAGAAGAGAGCAAGTCCATCTATTTTGATGTTCTGGTATGCAGCATTTTAGATTCCACTTCATTGTTGAGAATTTATTATTCACCTTCCATAAAACGTATTTAAAAACAGGGACATTTACATACCTACCACAAAAAATTTATGTTTTTACATATTTAACACCCAAATTTTCACTTATGATATCTTTGTGTCATAAACCTGTGTATGAAAACGTATATTTCACTTTTAAAAAGATGATCATGATGGTATTTCTGATGTGAGGTTAAAGATTTGAGTGATATTCATTTAAATATGAATGCGTAGATGTTTGATATGTAAATACCTAAAAATTGTGTGGTATGTATGTAAATGCCCCTTAAAAATTATGTAATTTAAATGTTATTTTTGTTTGTTTTCTTTTTATTTGTTCATGTTTTAATACATTGCATCTAACTTCAAACTTAGAGCCTTTCAAAATCACTGGTGGAAATGGTTGCTACTTTATTCAGTCTTCTAGGGTTATGCTTTGAAATGAAGTTATTCAGCAGTGCACTTGCACCTTTGCTGTTGTTTTATTCTTAGATATCTCGTGAGCATTTTTCCTTCAAAACTTTTTTGCTAATTTAGTTTTTGTTTATGCTAGTTTTCTTACAATTTGTACCGAGGTACTTTAGTTTTATGTGAGCGCATGGTTGAAGTTTTGTGAATGTAAGTCAGTTGCATGCCTTCATTGTAATTTTTCATTACAATCTATATTGGTTGAAAAAAGTAATAAGCTGATTTGCATACAAGCTTGCAATAAGCCATTTATTGTTCCTTAGAAATAAATAAATAAATAAAATAATAAGTAAATAAAAACCATTTATTGTTTCTTAAAGTCAAAGACTTAATTTAATGGAAGTTAAATAATGGCAACTAATCAAATTAACATCAACAATTTTACACATCGCTTATCCATGACTTGTATTTAGCATTTTCTTTGTAATGCAGAATGCTTTTTAGATTTAATTCCCCTTGCAGTTTTTTTTCTTTAATTATTTGGGGCATTTACATACATACCACCCAATTCTTTATTATTTACTTATCTAATACCTAAATTTTATTTTTTTTTACATTTTTAGCACCGAAGTCTTTCATATCACATAAAAAATACCACCAATTTAACTTTAAAAAATTAAAGTTTAGGTGTTAGACATGTAAATACACATGAATTTTGTGGTATGTATGTAAATCTTCTATTAGACCAGCACCTTCCGCCTCGTGCTACACCAAGCTGAGTGGTCCCACTGAATCCATGTCGAGCCCGCCAAATAATTTGAAATCCTATTTTTGGCGCAAGATTAAAGATAATTTAGTCATTTGTTAGTTATTATTGTTTGGTATAAATAGGGCTTAATAGGATTAGGGTATATGATTATTATCTTGAATCTTAGTTTTAAGGTTTGGGAGAGAATATTCTGCCCCTCGAATTGTAGTTCGACTGCTTGTGTATTTGGGATTGTGTTGTTTTGTGCAGTGGAGGAAGATATTTTATTTTGCCCTACTCTCTATGGAAACTTGTCTTGTTCTTATTAAATTGGTATTAAAGCCATACCTGGTACTAATGGCCATTGAGAAAGTCGATGCTTTGGACGAGAAATTATGTGAGCCAAATCAAATCAATGATGGAGCACTTCTCGTACATCGAGGGGTGATTCATGACCTTTGATTGTGGAGTTCCATGCAAACTCGTCGCCACTTGCCGCGGGATTGAGTGAAGGCGTCTGGAGCGAACTCGAGCGATAACAATCAAAAGGAATCACACGATATCAAGGTTACGCGCCTAGGGGGGGGGGGGGGGGGGGC